ATTGGGCTCTTTTCGAAGATGTTTTAAACTTTTTGGTCTCTCTTTGGGCTCTTTTTGAATTGGCTCTTTTTGAAAACATGGGCTCATCATTACGAGGCCAAACTGTGCATTTTGCGAGTTGTGAGCGCGTTCCGCAACAAGCCAAAAAGAGAATTGCAACAAGCCAAAAAGAGAATTGTTGCGGAATCCGCAATATTGCTTTTTTACTTTGATTTTATTTGCTGTTTTGAATATCACGGAGAAATCGCTAAAACACGGTATCTCTCAAAATCGCTCCAAAAACAGGCAGTTTTGGAAATCATCATCAAAATCTCTGAAATCCGCGGAGTCCGGAACAGTTTGTGAAATCCATACTCAAAAATTAATATATGTGTTTAGTAAATTTAAGCTGTCGTGAAATCCGCAACTGTAAGTGGAATCCGCAAATTGTAAGTAAAAAATCCGCAAATTGTAAGCGAATTCCACAATTTGAAAGCGTAATCCGCAAACTGTAAGCGTAAACCGCATAAAATTGCGGAACCTAAATACATTTGTTGGAACCGCTTACTTTTGTGGAATCGGGAACAACTGTATATACTCGTTCGTTAAGGAATCCGCAACAATTTAAGTTACAAGTTTTGTACGCGGAAATCACGGAAATTTTGTGAGTGAAATCCATCTAGATTTTGGTACATGTTAAAGACTTTTCTCTGGAATCCAGGAACATGCATATACAAAATTGTGCGCCTATCCAGTCTAGAGTTTGGCCTCGTAATGATTCAGCTAATTGTGCAAAAAATTGGGCTCTTTTCGTCGCCTTCATAGGCTTCTTCAGTCTCTTTTTGAGCTCTTTTTGAATTGAGCTATTTTGAATTCGTTTTGAAACATTGGACTCATACAGCTACTTTTGTTAACAATTTGGCTCAGGCAACTCCTTCTTTCTTCAAAACAAGGGCACTTTGCGGCCTTTGCGGCTTTTTGGGCTCTTTTTGAATTGGGTTTTTTTGCAATTTTTTTTTGAAAAGTTGGGCTCCTTCAGCTACTATCGCTAGCAATTGTGCTCTTGCAACTGCTTTTGTTAAAAAATTGGACTGTTTATGAAGCCTTTTTGGTCTTCTATTGGGCTCTTTTTCAATTGGGCTTTATTTGGCTCCCTTTGAAAACTTGGCTTAATAAAACAAAGAGGTCGGTTGATAGATCTCTCTGTTTCAATTAGTAACTATAGTTATAAATCTCGTTTAAATGATATCACATATCATAGTCGATCTGGTCCTACTTACAAAATGAATTTTATATAAATAGATAAATCAAAAGGGATATCAAATAAAAATGGTTAAATGTTATGCACACTGTTCATCTGTTGTTAACTTTTACCAATAGGAGTGGATGAAAAGTAGGTTCCCTCGATCATCCGTTATACTTTTTTGAAAATCTTTGCCTTTTTCCAAAGCTAATAAAACCGAAAGAATAAAAAAAATTCGTTTAGAAATCGAAAGGTAATTTATTCTTAAATTGAAATCAAAAGTTCAGTTAAAAAGGCATGTTTAAATTAAGGTGTAAGTGAAATTATAATAGAGAAGAGTCCGCTCGGATCTTATGTAAAAGATTAGTGTTTTATATAAGTGTAGCACTTTCAAAACTACATTGGGCTCATTTAGCTACAATTGGATTCTGGTAACTCCTTTTGTTGAAAATTGGGCACTTTTCGAAACACTTTTGGGCTTTTTGAGCTTTTATTGAATTGTGCTCTTCTTAGGCTCTTTTTGAATTGGACTCTTTTTGGACTCTTTTTGAACTTCTTTTGAAAAATTGGGCTCATTCAGCCTCATACTGAGAAAACGAGACCAAAAACTGGGCCCAATTTGTCAAAAATTGAGGTTTTTTAGCCGTGGGGTAGATTTAGGGGGGCTTTCCTTAGACGCTCCCTTTCCCTCGGGGATTCGGCTCCCGCATCAACCAAAGTGTCCTCTTTTCTAAAATTTAATGACATCTATTTTTGGCCAACCATCCCTAAATTTTTTCTAAGGGCGCCCTTGGCGCCAATATATTCTAACTTTGAGGGGTAGCTCGCCAAAACAAAGCAATTTTTTGGTCAGAATTTTTCCAATAAGTGCCCAAAAACGGCATTTTTGACCTGTTTTTATCAAAATTTTGCCTGCAAAAAACATGAAATTGTTATTTAGTCAAAATAGGGTCTTTATAGTGTTTTCCAGAACCGTTCGGAAAAACAATTTGCTCGACCTAAAAAACCGCGCCCCTTTAGAAAATTTTAGATCCTCCCCTGTGTTTAGCTCCTTTTGCTAAAAATTGGGGTCATTCAGTTCGCAGAAACAACTGCTGATTCTAGTTATCAAAAGAAAAATTCGCTTTTTTTCAATTCCTCATTCAAAATTGGTTGGTCCAATTTTTGTGTAGGCCCAAAAACGGCATTTTTGACCTGTTTTTATCAAAATTTTGCCTGCAAAAAACATGAAATTGTTATTTAGTCAAAATAGGGTCTTTATAGTGTTTTCCAGAACCGTTCGGAAAAACAATTTGCTCGACCTAAAAAACCGCGCCCCTTTAGAAAATTTTAGATCCTCCCCTGTGTTTAGCTCCTTTTGCTAAAAATTGGGGTCATTCAGTTCGCAGAAACAACTGCTGATTCTAGTTATCAAAAGAAAAATTCGCTTTTTTTCAATTCCTCATTCAAAATTGGTTGGTCCAATTTTTGTGTAGGCCCAAAAACGGCATTTTTGACCTGTTTTTATCAAAATTTTGCCTGCAAAAAACATGAAATTGTTATTTAGTCAAAATAGGGTCTTTATAGTGTTTTCCAGAACCGTTCGGAAAAACAATTTGCTCGACCTAAAAAACCGCGCCCCTTTAGAAAATTTTAGATCCTCCCCTGTGTTTAGCTCCTTTTGCTAAAAATTGGGGTCATTCAGTTCGCAGAAACAACTGCTGATTCTAGTTATCAAAAGAAAAATTTGCTTTTTTTCAATTCCTCATTCAAAATTGGTTGGTCCAATTTTTGTGTAGGCCTTATTGTTTTTTTGGGTTACAACGTCTGCTGTATCAGGTTGCGGAGTTTGGCGGCGGAAAACACTTTTTAGTTCTCTCATGCAAAACTGAGTTTGGTGTTCTGGTTAGGTTTCGAAGGAAACTATTTCAACGTGAAGGCCGGAATAAGATCAGAAGTTTTGAATTGCACCGACTTTAAAATTGCATGAATAAGGTCATGGTTATCTTTAATCATTTTGATATGAACATAATTCTCTTTATATAAAAAACTGCTGAGCTTAAAAAATTTATTCCACAATCTTATGGTTATATCCGAGAAAATCTTTGTGGTGTCCGTAAAATAATTTAAAAAACAAAAAAATCTATTAAAACTCTTCCCTAGGTTTTTTTCCAGAAATTCTTCAGGTTTTTTCATATAACATAAGTGTGATTCTTCTAGAAAGAGAAAAACGCTTGGGTGTTATATGAAAATTTGAGCGTAGACATGCAGGGGCGGATTTAGGATTTCCTCGAGCCGGGGGATTTTCCAAAAAAAAATTGGAAAATTTTGACAACCTTTTTTAGGTCGAAGAATTTGATTTTCCGAGCTCTCCTAGAGCACTAAAAAGACGCGTTATGGCAAAATTTTCTGCGCCGCAGGCAAATTTTTGAAAAAACATGTAAAAAAGCAGTTTTTGACCTTTTTTTGGAAAATTTTGACAAAAAATCGCGTTTTTTCGGGGCCCGCTCTCCCTCAAAGTTAGTATATATTGGCCGGCCAAAATGGATTTCTTAAAAATTACCAGAGGGGGACCTAAATCCACCCCTAAATCCGCCCTTGTAAATATGACAGAGTGAGACACAGTAGCAGGTTAAGGGGGTAGTGATTCCTCATTTTTTTGGCTGACGATCCGTAAAAATTTTCAGATGTGATTTTGGGGCCAATTATAAAAAAACCACAATGAGCATAAATATTCCGCTTTCTTCGAAAGTAGGAACAGTAATGTTGAGGGGTGAGCGAGCGCCAGCAAAAGGTAATTTTTTTGTCAAAAGTTTTGGCCGGACTTCCAACAAATCACCTGCGACGAGAATTTTTTTGCCAAAAAGAGGTCTTTGTAGTATTTTGGCAGATCTCAGAAAATCTATTTGGTCGGTCGACATAAAAAAATTATCGACAAAATTTTTTTTCCAAAAATTTGCCCTTCCGTTCCTGAAAGAGCCTAAATCCACCCCTTGATGGAACATCATTGAAGTGAGAAGCTTGGAATCAATCAAAACCGATATGAACTCGGTTTTTTTGGCAGATTATGCGTCGCCATCTCCGGAAGAAGCATGAAAATCATAACATGGAAATCTTATAACACCGTAAATTCATTGGTAATATCTATCTGTTTTGGACCACTCGACTCTTTTAATTCAGCCTTAGAAGTAGGAAAATACTCAACTGCCATTGGCTGTGCTTTGATCAAATTTGTTTTCACTCTCTTCCAAGTAGGATCTGAAAAGTGAAATATTATTGAGGGGAAATTTGTGAACATGTGGCTCTAAACACAGGAGTGCAATTGATAATTCTCTGAATTCAAACTCTAATTAAAGATCAACAATAAAAGCAATGAAAAAATAGAAACTCTTCTTTTTAAAAATTTCTAACTGACATCAAACATAAATACAACCGACAAGTCAAAAAAGTCTCTAGCGTCAAAAAATAAGAAAATCAGTCTTTTCAGAGCAAAAATATCTACTTTTTTCTACTGTTTTTTCACCGGTTGTTCCATCAATAAAGTGAGGATAAATAAACATGTATTAAAAACAACATTCAATAAAATCGCAGGAGAGCTGAAATATCGAAAAAAACATCACCACTCTAAGCTAACAAAAATTATCTGAGTTTACCTCCGTTGGACGCTGCTATTTATTTATTACCACCGCTCTTCTTAATTTACTTCTTGTTAGCTGCGCCGCCTTCAGTTGTTACTAAATTTGACTTGGAAAAACGCCAAATAAGGACGCAATTTTAGATTAAAAAATCAAGGTTGTTACTGTTTTATTGAGTCAATTTTGACATCTTTCGGGTTAGAACTTCAGCTTTTAGTTTAAACTCTAAAAACATTGAATCAGTTTTTTTTTTGAAAAAAATTGTTCAAAAATAAACACATTCATATTCAAGGATTTTTTAGTCATGGCTTTAAGAGCCCTAATACATTAATGAAGGGCTTTAACGTCTGTACTTGACATAATGTATAAATGGCAGTTTCAGTACCAGCGCAAAAAGGCATATTGATTCATTGCAAATTCACGTAATTGGCTTTGAAAATGGATACTTTTTGGGCTGTTCATTAAAATTCCGGGGTTGTTATCATCTAAAAATCAGCACAGTATAAACTAAAGGTCAGATTTTTTCGTTAGTTTGAACGAACTTTACAAATTTACAGCTCAATGCTATTGGGAAGACTTCGTTTCAATGCATTTTTGGAATATCCGGAAATTCGAATTTTTATTTCAGGAATAATCATTGTTTATTGGCCAGCACAGGTAGAAAATCAAATTTTCAGACTGGTCGCTCAGAAATTTTGTTGATTTCCCATTTATTTCGCCTGCCTTTGTAAAATTTAGCTCAATTATTGGGCATGATTGCTCTACCAAGCTCATAGAAGAGCTTCACGCGTGAAAAATTTTGACTAGGTGATGTTACTTTTTCCAGTGACCTTAACAATTCTAGAACAAAATCTTTCATTTACATAATTCTTTGATACTACCCAAAATAGCCCTATTTTTTCTAAACATTATTACCCAAATTTATTTCTCATTATTACCCAACATTACCTATTATTACAGTAAGAATTACCCAGCGTTACCTTGTATATAGTTCTTTGAAGTTTGATTAGCAAAATGTGGCTGCTGGATTAAAGTTACTTCTTCTCTTTTAATCTGTCACTGACCTACCCGACCCATAACTCTTGTTAAGTACAAAACAAAAGCTATACACAAATATAGTTTTTTCATGTGTAAATAATTCAGCAATCTAGACAACCGCCTAATCACAGCAGCAAATTCAACTTATGCAACAAAACACATGAAAAAAACTATCAACATGTTTTTTGCTACCAGAATAGGTGAACAAATATTGAAATCACTAATAAACAGTGGCAAAATCATTACTTTTGATGGAACTTTCGACCGGACAGAATGAATCGCGAAGTTATCCGCTTGCTTGGAATTATCAGAATCAGAGGGAAACCCACAAACTGCGTCCTGCTTACGACAACTTGGATTATAATCTGTTTTTTGGTTTTATTCGGAGAGGCTAGATACTCAGACAACGACCATCAATTCAAGTTCGAAATCACAGGTGAATAAAAATAAACTTAATTTTTTTTAAGTTACTGATTAGAGTTTAGAAACACTACATCGAGAGCCATTCAATTTTTCTTTGCATATACTTTTCAGATGAGGCATGTTAAGATCATCCACCTCAGCATTTAAATTGGGTTAAGTTTGCTAATTTCCCCATGTATTTAGCAGTTCCTAAATTTAGTTCCTGAATTTTCGAGACAAAAAGAAAGCAAAATTAAATAAGATCAAGTTATAGAGCAATTTTTAAGTTTTGTATAATATTTGAATCCAATTAGGAATTTTTCAGCGCCAGCTAATATTTCAAATGGGACAACTTTCAATAAGCTCTCCGAGGAGAAGCTATCTGAAAAAGCCCAAAACTTTCAAAAAAAGCCCAAAAAGCACAACGATGAACCGGAGAACTCGGAAGTCGTTAAACACGTAAAAGAGGCTCAGCGGGGGTTTTCGCTGGGTTTTGAGCAACATAGACAGCTGTTGTACTCAGCTGCTAGACACCTCATAACAGGTAATGTAGAAATGCGAGCAGAGATGAATTCGTTGGCTAGTTTTTAGTTCTCAAATGTTTGGATGACAGTCGTCTTTCTATGTCTTGAGTTGTCTTCGGTTCTTATAAAAAATCGAAACTTTTCAGTCACGGGACACAGAAGTTGCAAAATTTTGAAGTCAACGAGCAAATGAACGATTTTTTTTTGCGTTTTGTCGCACGTTTTACACGTAACTTTTAAAATCCTGTTCTTTCGTTTTACCGCGGGATGAAGAGTAATTCAAGCTCATCAGCTTCCCGACAAAACGAACCCACTACCCATTTCAGCCCATATTTTTAAGCTCGTTGTGTTGTTTACGAGGATTTCTTTTTCTATACTGGCTGATTTAGGCCTTCAAAACAAAATTCTTAAAGGTTGGCCAGGCCAGCTCTTTTCAAATAATTGAATCTAGCATGCTTCAAAACTTCAAACTAGATCTGAAAAATTTGCGAAGAAACCTACAAAATCGTGGACACAAATTTGTTAATTTGCTTGTTGAAATCAAACTGTTGCAATTTTTATTTCCCGTGACTGTCGATACTAATTTAAATATTTCAAAAATCCAAAAATAAAAACGAACCATAAATCAAAAGAGCAATAGATTATAAGCCAAAAATTAGAAAAGGTTGTTTTTTAGCTCAAACAGAAACCTGAAACGATTTTCAAATCATATCATCCTCGATAAATTCATTTTTGAGATGAACAGCTGCGATTAATTTAGTTGCTACTAACAGTACTAGCCAGCGCGACAGTTGTAGCTTATCGAAAACTTGTGGCAGCTCTTTCCGGCCCCTCCCCCCACTCCCCTTAAATTTGATAATGTTATTTGCTTCGGTGTTGAAAAAAATCATGGTTTCGTAGAACTAAACTTGTTAATATTCCAAACTTTTGTGCTTTTCGCTTGTAACTTAAAATGCGTCTTAGACAGGAAACACAAAAATTGATAAATGAACAATTAGTGGCATTTCTTGTGTCTGATTTATTTGTTTTGTTTCAAAGTTTTGTTTTGAATTTTTTTGCTTCAGTATTCGTGGAAAAAGTTGTTCTAAAATAAAAACACTGATTATTCGACACAAAACAGTTTTCTTATTGGATCTTGCTTGTCATTCATTCTCAGGTATTATCTTTTTTAAATCATCTGTTTTATATGTCTTATGTTCTCGGAACTGAACACATATCGCATCCAATTTTCTTTCGAGATTAAGTTTGAAAATAATCTGACCTTAAAAACGTTTCGCCAAAAAACGCTTTCATATAATGTTGACGATTGTACTGCTTGTTCGTAGTTTGTGATTCACCATTTGTTTGGTCTGCTGTCAAAATTTTGATAGTACACATGAAAAAAAATTTTATGTGAAAACAGTTCACCAAAAAACCCATAATTTAAAGACTGTCCCTTAAAGTAACTAAACCAAATTTGGGACAAAAATTTCAGCACCACCTATTAAAAAATAAAAGGTTAATTTTTGAAGCCTCAAAACAGTTCGAATAGTGTTAAATACTGGGTGATAAAATTTTTGCCTCAACTCAGGATACTTTTATTTCTGAGCCTTGTTATTACCAAAATAAATAGGTGAAAAAGATTTTATGTTTGAGCTTAGAACTTAGGGCATCAATATCCATCAGACAAAGTTAAAAATTTATCTTAATAATCACTTATGATTCCTACGATACGCAGAGGAGTTACCCATAGGCCTTGACGGGCCTGTTTAAGAATAGTCATTTTGTTTTAATTCCCATCATTCCAGACTGAGCTGCTTTGTTGAGTGAATCTCTTCTTGCTACTCAAGGCCGTTTATTTGTGCGTCTAGAAATTTCGCATGGTTCCATTATTGCAGTCAAAGTTAGTCAGGCGAAACGGTTAACGAAAATCTCGAAAATGGTTTGCACGCTCCAGCCAGCTCATTATTTTATCATGTTCTTCAGGGAAAAAAGCTTTGGAAAAAAGTTTTATAAAATTCATTAAATATTGAAAATAATATTGAATGCTCTTGATTGACAATTATTCTTGCTGAGGAATAAAAATGATTCTTTACTTCCCATGGCGAATATTTTTGAACCTTGTAAGTTGATAAAGTTGAACAAATTGAGTGAGTTAATAAAAGGTAATCAGCTTTAGGCAACACATTTAACTGATTTGAAAGAAAATATACTGTTGAAAATTTCTTATGAATTCCGCAGCTTTTTTATCGTGAAAAATAACAAAATAAAAGCTGAAAACGGAAAGTCTCTAAAAGTTTATTCTTACTCAAGAATGCCGTCATGAAATGTATGGTTTCGGAATACTGAGCTGTATTTTAAAACGCATGAAAATTTGCCCTTTTCTGCCTCATGGAAAACAGAAGTTACTTTTTTCTCAAATCGGAGAGTGAACAGATGTTTTCACTGTTTTTTTCTTAGATTTCGGGAAACAGAGCGCCAATTTTCACACGCAAGACTAACTTAAGCCTAGTTTTCTAGAAAAAAAATTAAGATATCAAATTAAAAATTTCAACTAAAAATATCAATTTTTGGATGAAAGTTAATTTTTCAGTTTTTTCTAATTGTCAGTGTTTTTGTTCTGACTCCTTTCGAGTAAAATGACGGAATATTTGTGCTGGGGGTGTTTTTTTCAGACAGTTCCGACAATTTAACTAGCAAAATTTGACAAAATTGAATTATATCATTTAAAAGTTATTGTTGTCCTGAACTCAATTTTACAAAAAAAATAACCTATGATCATTTTGTAGTTATGGGGTTTTATAGATTGCCACTATGGCCAAATTAGGACAACTAAAGCGCGATATCTGTCGTAAAAATTTTGCAAAATTGGTTGTTGAAAGCTATTTTTTTATAGTATAAATGCTAGATTACTAGGAGCAAAATTGATCAATTTGTACTTTATGTACTTTAATTGGCGCGTGAGGGATGGTTTTTTTATAAAAAAAACTTATAAAATAGAACGTTTTTTTAGGTGTACTTTGCTCTAAAGACCTTAAAAAGCTGTCGAAATAGTCAGGGCTTTGTCTTGACACGAGTAGTCTGGTTGAAATTTTACGATCATCTGAGCCCTACTGTGCTATAACTTTCTGGTTTTAGCGGAACTCATATCTTATAAAAAAAGCTATTTTAACAAATCTTTTAAAACAAAAAACAATAAAATTAATTTTGCCAAATTTCTAAGAAGATTTTTTCGACGAGATGATTTGTAACGTCAGAATTTCATTTAAAAAGAAATAGAAAAATTGAATATGTTTTACCTGTTTTTGGAATTTATTTATGGAATTTTTCCCCATTAACCTCTAGGAGGTGTTTTCAAACAGCTGAGGCCGCTGAAGTTTGTTTACTTCAAGACAAAAACAAATTTGTTACTTTGGCAAAAACAAATCCTAATCTTATCTGATTCCTTATGATCCTTTATACGGAGTTGAAATCTTTCGTAGATAATTCGTAAATATGTAAAACTTTTTGCAACATCTTTTTTTTGGAATATTTTAGGCTCTAATTAGAGGCTTCTTTAGTTATGTCTAAAATCAATCCTTTTAGCGGGAAACCTAATTTACGTTTAAAGTTTTGGTCGGATAAATTATAAGAAATTAGTTGTATCTAGAGGGGTTTTAAGGATTTCCAATATGGCCAATTTGGGACAATCAACGCGCCATATCTGTCTTACAAATCTTAATAGTTTTGAGAATAGTTTTGAGCGTGTTATCTACGCAAAAGTACCAGGCACCAGAGGATCTAAGGGGTGTATGGGGGAGTGCGGACGCCTTCACTTAGGGGTACTGACCCAAAGGGTTTCCCCTTTATATTAATTTGAGATATCCATTTTTGGTTGATGGACACTAAAATATTTCCAAAAGCGCTAACGTTGCCAATATTTACTAATTTTGAGAAGGAAGCGCGCGCCAAAAAAACTTGCTTAGTCTTTTTCTAAACAGTCAACAATTTACTTGATAACAAAAAAGCTGTGCGTATTTTTCTAACAACACAAAAATTTACAGTTTAGCTCAAATTTAAGCTAGATTTTTTGTGACTTAGAGAGTTGAGACAATCATTACGCATCATATAGTTAGTCACACCGCTTCAAACGCATCAGAAATGGATCAGATATAATTTGGAACGTTTTTTGTTCGTCAAGAAATTCAAGGCAATCGAAACATACCCATTTTTGGTAGAGAAAGTCGAAATAAAAATATTCGGGGTCGAACAAACAAATGTAAAAAAACTTGGTCGAGAAAGTCGAAGCAAACCAAATTTTGTTCGAAAAAATTTAATGTATCTATGCGTGGTCAAACAAATGGTCGACAACTTAGAAGAAAAAAATAACACATCAAATTTTGGTCGAAAACGTTGAAACAGATCTGAACTGGGTCGAACAAATTCGAAACATACCCTTTTTTTTAGGTCGAGAAAGTCAAAATATACCAAACTTTGGTCGTAAGTCGAAATATACCAAAATTTGGTCGAGAAAATCGAAACATATCAAATT